ATTATCAGTATTCACTAGAAATTAAGTACTGGCCAAAAAATTACTGAATTACTGGTAATATTTAATCACTAATAATTTTTCAGTATTTCTTAATATACATTATACATTATATAAGCATATATAATTCTTAGTATGATATTTCTATAAGGGGTATGTGTGTCTTTAAAAAAATTATTACAAATTTAAAAAAGTACCATACTTATTGTAGTGAAAATATTTATTATAATACCCCAGATAGCATAGAGATGAACAGAAGATCCTAGAGAATTAATTTTAAAGAATAGATATAGAATTAGAAAAATGAATACCCGAAGAATTCTTGAAGAATTAACCATAGTAAGTTCGTCTTGAAATATTCCTTAGGATTTCATTATAGCGAATACTTCGCAACTTAATTCCTAGAACACTTTGAGAATTCATGAGGAATTAGGACTAAGGCAGAGAACGAGACGTAAGCGTCGTAATCGTAGACATAAAGTAAGGCAGAGAAAAACGTAAGCATAACCCTTATAGAAATATCATACTAAGAATCACTGATAATTACTTATTATTCAGTATTTTTAATACTGAAAATAAGTAATTATCAATGATTCTTAGTATGATATTTCTATAAGGGTATGTCATGAGAATAAGCTATAACAGAACAAATGTTATATACAATTGACGGTTTTTATTATTATAGAAGACATACAGAAAAGATAAGTAATAAATGACAAGATATTTGATTATCTAAATAAACCCAGACAGCACACAATCTTCAGAGAATGTTCTGGGACGTTCTTAGAATGTATGAATGTCCTTAGAACATCCTTAGAACGTTCTTTGAAGATTTGTGCTGTATGGGAATATATGAAACTGGAATTAGAAAATTCTTCACAAAATATAAGTTAAAACACATAAGTTATTTTCTCCCTAACCTTAAAATATAATGTTAACTAATAATTATAAACTTTAATTACAGAATAAATCATGCCTTACTGTTGTGTAAGTAAATGCTCCAATTCATAGAAAAAACACTTTTCCATGCATCGCTTACCAACAGATAAGGAAAGAAAGCAACAGTGGATTACGAATCTTGATCGACCCTTATAGAAATATCATACTAAGAATCGTTGATAATTACTTATTATCCAGTATTTTTAATACTGAAAATAAGAAATTATCAATGATTCTTAGTATGATATTTCTATAAGGGGACTTGACTTAGATCCCACAAAAGTTCACTTCATATGCGAGATAAGTTTATTTTTCTTTAAAACTTATACTAACAAACTTTATTATAAATATTCCAAGCAAACACCAAGTAACAGTTATATAAATGTTAGTTCTAATTTCCCACTCAACAATGCCCTTATAGAAATATCATACTAAGAATCATTGATAATTACTTATTTTCAGTATTAAAAATATTGGATAATAAGTAATTATCAATGATTCTTAGTATGATATTTCTATAAGGGTATAACTGTCGCATAAGGGTGTATATCAATTGGACACGGGGCAATTGGACACAGTCCAATCACAAGTCGCTGTTCCAAGGGACCCTACAAATGTCTCTAATCACACGGTGCTATGATTGGCTGTGTCCAAATGCACCATGTCCAAGTGCACCTCTCCCGTCGTTCGTATACACACGTGTTACATAAAAGTTATATTGTTGAATGGGAAATTATAACTAATATTTATATAATTATTACTTGATGTTTGCTTGGAATATTTATAATGAAGTTTGTTAATATAAGTTTTAAAGAAAAATAAATTTACCTCGCATATAAAGTGAGCTTTTGTGAGATCTAAGTGAAGTCGATCAATATTCGTAATCCATTGTTTTTTTCCTTTCTTCTTTCCTTTCTTCTTATGATTTAAATGCTATTGCGTTATTGACCAGATAAATTGATCGAGTGGCCTCCGTAAACCAAAGTCTTATTTATCGATATTTTACCTTTATCATATCTTGAATATATGCGCCTTGTAGTGTGATTGGCTCCGCCATTTTGAGGGGTCTGAGAACGTGACCAGTGAAAAGATGTTTATGAGTTGTCCAGATTCTGTATTCTAGGGTCTCTATTCGAGACCTATAAGCATGCTCTCCTGCAATACACAAGAGGTAGCGCGCGTTCCAGGTAGTATATATTTCAGTGATTTTTTCTCACTCTAACTTATGTTGGCGCTGCCATTTAGTGGGTAAAAGTCGGGGAGGACCCGATTGACCACGATACGATTGGACACAGATTGTAATGATTGGTTCGACCTAGTAATTCACTAGATAATTCTTTTCATCGGTTGGTTGTGTCCAATCGTACCGTGGTCAATCGGGACGCTCCCGTAAAAGTCACATGCACCAATCACGCAGAGCCTCATTATGTCCAGTCTCTATTCAAGGGTCTCTAGGGCTGCGTTCGGAAACCCAAGTGTACCGTTGCGTTGGAGTGAGCGAGATACAAGAGTGCGATAAAAAGAGAGGGAGAGTATTCGAGTGACGTTTCCGAACGCAGCCCAGGACGGCAAGTCGCCTGGAGCCATTTATTGAGAGAGAGAGAGAGAGAGAGAGAGAGAGAGAGAGAGAGAGAGAGAGA